GATTCCTGTTAAGGGGAATCATGAAAGAACTAGTTACCTCCGCCTATAGCTCATAGCTTGGTTGGTCGTATGTGAACCGACCCGATAAACTCTCTTCCATGACTTTGCTACTGGAACTTATTCGATTTAGGTAGTTCATCAAAAATACAGGTATATCATTAGTGACCTGAAAGGTCCCGTCCAAAAACCACCTGTGTAAACTACAAAAAATGAGTGTAAACGTGGTAAAATATTGCGATAATCGCTGATATACAAAATGACTTGGTGCTTGTAGTAATGGTATTTTTCTCAGCTTAGTTCCCGGTCTGAGCCTCCCAAGCTAGCGCTCACGTTAAAACAACCACCAAAGGTAAACAAGGTATATTAACGCCCAAAACGAAGTCAAAAACAATTGCACAGCGCTTCATATATATAGCGTAGGCGGCTATAACTTCGGAAATTCTGGTGCGTTCTGGATGCGACACTGGCAACCGGCATTCGGCTAATACTGGGTCGTGATTGGCTGTTGGGTCCAGACTTTCGACCAATCATATCTCGGCTTGATACCGGCCTAACACCTCCCCTTGAAGTTTGTTGACGTAGCTTCGAAACCAATGGTTCACTTGCAGTGGCCTCACTGGCTTGCGGATCCTGTCTGTCCAGCGCTGTGGTTGTACTCCGTTCTCAGGCTGTCTCCGGCGAAACAACTGATTGATTTTCTGGGATGGTGCCGCGATCAAAGGTGTCCAGAAGCATTTCTAGACTCAAATCACTCGGCCCTATGGGCAGGATTTGCGTATCTGTTGGCCGGATTTGGTTCGTGTGGCGAATCCACTTGGTTGGGCCCACTTGAATCTCGTAGAGCACTTTGCCGCGCTGGCGAAGGATGAGTCCTGGAGTCCATGTAGGGTGTCTGCCGCTGTAGTCACAAACCAAATCCAACCGACGGATACGCTGACGACAGAATCATCTGAGTTTCACCTGAATACCCCGTTTACATTGTTTTTCAACTGAATGTATCACACAGGGACCGCCCTTGTTGTTCAGGTGAAACGGAGCGGAGAATTAGGTGAAAATTAACTAGGCCTTTCGTCCAAAAAAGTTATTCTGTGCAACCAAGTAGGATTTTGGTGTTCAACCAGATAATCAAGTTGTAGGAAATTTGGGCACTAGGTTCACTTGACAAGCTACCCAAAAGGGTAAATCAGGTAGAGGGCTGTCCCGAGTTTCCGTCCTCTTTGTGAGTAGTATTCAAGGGATGAGCGGAATTCACTCATTTACATGCCTATTTTGATTTTGACGTCACGGATGAATCTCTCGTTTATGAGGTTATAACTCAACCGAATGTGATGCATCAGGCCATATCATGTTTCAGTTGGTACGGCATTCGAGATATTGTGATACAGTGTATAGACGTAACGCGCTACTCATAAGGTTGCTGAAAACTCTTCGGTAGCCTACGACCGCTTTTGGCCTTCTTGGAGCTCATCGGGTAAGCGCAGCCTCCAAGTCTCCGTCAGCCTTATGTTCTGCTTGAACCCACATTATACGGAATCAGCGTAGCACACTCATTTTTACACCAAGTTGGTTTTGACCGGAGATTCACCTGGAAACCAGCCATGAAACTCTCGCGTATGATGCAGATTAGTTATTTAAGCTGATGCGATTTTGCTTATGAGGCTGATGAAAACTCCTTGATGTCAGCCCTATAAATAGTATCGTATTGTTGAAGCTACTCCGCTATCTTGAATATTGGTCCAGATTGGCATAAGTGGACTCTGTGTGACATATTCGGTTCTTATCTGGACCAGTTCTTATCTGAACCTTTCAATAGGAGAAGCATAGTTTCCAAATATGAGTGTTAAACTCCACATGTCAAGAAACACATTTTCTATAAAAAAATTCCTTGCATTCAAACAGTAAACATAGATGAAATTTAGAACAAAAATAAATACACTGAAACAGTGATTTTGTCAACACTGGGAAGAGGGAATGTTCCGAGGTTTTGGTCGATAAGATGAAGCGTCCTAGAAATCAGTGATCTACAGAATATTTAAAGTATTAAAGGCATCTGTACAATGTCCAGTCGCAATCACATGTTTAGCCGTAGCTAATCCCTGCAACGAAAGCGCAAAGAACTCGAAAATGGAACTTGGGTACATCTACTCATATGCTTCCATCACTTTGCCTGACATCACAACTGCTTTTTAGTCAGTCCTGGATAGCTGTCGAGCAAACACAAGTCTTTATCTCTGAGATTGCTGAGGTGAAAGTTGATGATCGGGGGTGATTATTATTATATGCTTAAAACCGCCCCAAAACTATTGTAGTACCTCAACACACTACTTATGAGTAAGGTCTGGAAATGGCATTGCTCCGCAATAAATAGATAGGAATGATGATGTGTCCGAAAATGTTCTGACACAATATATTCCATTTTCGAGTCCGTTGAACCAAATTTCGAGTGTTCAGCAAAACGGAATAATTTCAGAGAACGGACTAATCTTGAAGCTGAAAAAAGCTCAAAATGCAGTTACAATCGTGTTTTACCCTCTCGAACTAACGTAACAGGTCAGAGCAACCACCACAGACATGTGGAAACGCACATGGGATGGTGCGCACAGTACGTACGGTTTACTAAAACACAAAATAAATTAAAAATTATAAAGCAGTGCAGTGAATGAAGTTAATTTAAAGGTGAAAGTGTCAGCCATCGGATGAGGCTTATGGAAACTACATGGTCTCACGTCAAAGAGCTTCAAAGCAAAGCAGTTTGTCACCCTATAGTCAAGCTTCGAACCTACATACCAGATTCTCAAGTAAATACTGTTCTTTCCACCTCAGTCGACCCTGGAACGTTTTGTGGTTCTTATATTCTGGATGGTTCGTTCGATGTGGAACTGGATCTCGTGTGAAAAAAAACAACGCTACTGGCAACGACATCAACCTACGGTGTAATCAAGATTGTCAAGCCAATTCAAAAACACATTTCTCGCTTAGCAGTACGTCAGGGAATTCTTTGGCCTATAACGTTCTCTCCTAAAAGCAACGAAAAACCGAATTCGGAATAGACTAAGCATGGGATGACCATGATATATAAGGGTGATTGTGTTTTGATTGACTTCTGTGGAAAAAGTTTCAAGGGCTTCAGTGCCAAAAGTATTCCCGGGATGTTTTTGAAATTGGACACTGATCATCATCATCATCATCATCAAAGACAGCAACATCAGTGTTGGCATTGATGCTTCACTGCCGTACAACCTTAAGGTTCGTCTAGTTATATATAGTTGTGTATACACAATTAATGATAATTATTAGTAAAAGCCCTACGGTGAAAAAAATAGAAAAAGAGTGGATGGGGAAGGGGACCTAGTGCTGGCCCATGCCTAGCATTCTGTGGTGCCTACAGCTCCAACTGCTCATTTGGACAATCTGGAAAGAAACTGACACCACGAGCGCCACTGACATCGATTAGCCGACATTTATTGCAACGTCTCGAGCCGAGCACAGACGGGGTCACGGAGACCCCATCCTGGAAGGCGTACAACACCAATAACACCCAAACTCTTCGTGATCTCTTTCCTTTCTGTCAAGTCATGTGCTGTCCACCTCGTGGTTAGCGCCATCCAGAAAGAGGCACGGAGAACAACCCTCGTCTCCGTAGACGGTGTTGCGGCATGCGTAGCACATGACGGAACCATCGTAGTCGATGATGCTGGATATTTTCGAGGAGTGAAGTACCTACCACACAAACAAACACCCGTTGTCTAATCACCTCGTTACTAACATACTGACGCCATCCAAATCCAGCCACGCCTCCGAGGCATCGGTGGTCGAAAACCTGAAGACGCCTCACATCGTCTGTCCGCAGAGGCCATGTCACAACTAAGATGTCAGTGCTGATTCTGAATCCTTATGACATTCATGAGTTCAAGGTCAACCGGTAAAAGTTTCATCACCATTCTACATTTGTCCAGCTTCATAGTAATTCGTGGGGCCAGAATATCTGCTTAAAAAGAACCCCAATAAATGCCGTTCACTAAACCGTTTTCTGACGTACAGAATACCAAAATAGCAGCATTTCTTCGCCGGTACACTACGGTCCAAAGGGTTCTTTCTTTCGGGAAGCATTCATATGCTGCCCAAAAACGAATGTCATGCATCCAGGTCAAGGAACACCTTGCAGGTGCTCATCACAGCCTTCAACGTTTTCCCCATTGGCATATTGGTGGAGCGTCCCGGCCGTCGTTCATTCCGCGCAGCCCCACAAGCTCGTCTCATCTGTACGAATAACAAGCGAGGTAACCATAGTTTCGTTTGGCAAGCAATCAGAATGTACCCTCCACATACTGTGTAAATGCATGTGCCGTGCAAATCACCTACTCTGTCCAACCTGAAAGTTTGCATCGAACACCACCTCCGGTCGGCCACTCGCTGATCCGGTCACAGCGACGCAGTGTGAAGCCGATCAGGTGCGAACTTAGCCAGGTGGTTGAAAAAAGCAACACTCTTCAGGTTCAGAAAATGCCAGGCCCATGCAGCTGAGCGATGGAAAATCAGACTATTCGTATGCATCAGAAAATATACGAAAAAGACAACTTCCGTTCCAACACGGTTAGATTCCAGAAACGGTTAATCAGCGCGTACTTACCCTATTGGCCGCCCACTCAGTAGGGTGACACACCCCCAGTGGTTAAATTACATGGAGTACGGTGACAGTGCTTGATCTAGGGCACCCTGAGGCATTAAGAAAACTCTACCAGGCTTGATGGAGTTCAAGAGACCGACAACTAGGAACATTGAAGAAGAAGGAAGATCACGAAGCAACCAAATTTGATGTAACGCTTTTTTGTTCTGCTGTGAACCATGCTTCAAAACAATGGTCGCGAATTTCTCTACTGTAATAGAGGGTGTTTCATGCTGCCTGACTGAACAAAGTCCTATAGTGGTGCCTATTTTTTGTGCAACAGAGGGATAACAGTTTGTATTTTATTTAAGTAAGTGGTAACCATGTTATTCGAGTTTTTCGGTCCTGGACTGTGAAGGTCAGTGGGGTGTGCAACACCTTTTCCAAAAGAATCAGTGTATGACTTCAACTCATTGTCTGAATCTACTTGGTTCTTTTCACCCGTGCCAAAAGAATCAATCGATAAGGGTATTTCCACTCATCAGTTGTTTCAGTGTTGACTTCATTTTTCACAAGCAAAATCTTTCCTCTCATTGGTGAGTTGGCTCTTGAATCAACTAACACTCCAACTCTAATGTTTGCATTTCTGTTGACTTCAGATAATTCGACAACGCGACCAGTGCCCGTACAAGAACAAGCTCCCCGTAAACTGCGAAAACGTCTTTTCCTTCGTGGACAAACGGTGGGCACAATAACCACGCCACCCACACCGGATATGGGAAGAAGAAACCGGTTTGAGAACACATTTGTTCATTGGCGAAGACAAAATGCCAGTGGAGCACCGCTGAACCTGACGTACTTACGAAAAACCGTCGATATAGGTACAAATGCTGAGTTGGATCTTTTATCGGCGAGCTTGCCGGAAGAACAGCCATTTCAATTGGGTAAGCTAATGTGACGGGAATATTCGACTCAAGAGGTGAGGTCAGATGGTACATGAAGATACCGCGTGGTCCATTGAAGCGTTTGAGCAATTTTGCTCAACTGCGATAGATATTAACTCATATGCGAGGAAGGTGTTGGGTATTCTCGTAACTGCAAAGTAAAATTAGGACTTAGTATGGTTACTGTAGCGAAGGACTGGCAAAAACGGGTCAGGCATCCCCGTCGCCAATTGTTTTCTCTTGAGTTGAATTCGACATCACTTTTCTTTCTTCCACATAAAACCAAAGCTACCGGGCGTAACGAATAGAAAATAATGACAGCGTTCAGCTAGACAATTGATTGGCTGTTTTTCCAACTTCACAGTGGCTTCATTGGGGTACTGATTTCCGCTTCTGGGTGCACGGACTGATCTGCAGGCACTCTACAAAACTGAAACTTGTCCCCGGTTCCACAAGAATTTTTCATCCACAGCTTCTGGAGGAAGTGTACTTCTCATGTACCGTAATCTTGGATGAAAACATGCGTTTCAAAATAATCTGACATGGCGTTACATACGAAGAGGTCTCCCAAGTATGCTTGGCTCGGAGTGGACGTTTTCTTGGGCTCATTTAATCACGTTGATTGATTGATTGATTGATTGATTGATTGATTGATTGATTGATTGATTGATTGATTGATTGATTGATTGATTGATTGATTGATTGATTGATTGATTGATTGATTGATTGATTGATTGATTGATTGATTGATTGATTGATTGATTGATTGATTGATTGATTGATTGATTGATTGATTGATTGATTGATTGATTGATTGATTGACTGATTGATTAAAGAGCTCTGTCAAAGTGTCTCAAGGGATTTAGAACGTATTTTTTATCGTCACGATTAGTTTTGTAACGTCAGTTGCAACTGGATAGAACCGAAAAACTAGTCTGAAAGATGTCTGTAGTAATTAGCGGAATAGTTAGCTCGTTAGCGCGCAGAATCAGATGTAGGTTGTCATTAACGATGCTGGGTTGCGTGAAGACGTGATCTCCGCCAATGAAGCGGCACCTTTTAGAGCGACGGTAGTGTTTTCTAGTCCACCTCAAGAAGATGCCGTCTCCATTTGCACACGAATTCGGTTTGGACGGGAGACTCAACTGAATTCAACCGAATGTCTACTTTATAATGGTTGACTTTAGATGAATGGTTTCCATCCGACCGTCATCATTAACGAAAGATTAGGGTGGATTCAGTTCAGCCTCCGACCAAAACCAAATTCGTGAGAGTATTTATCGAAATCTGAAAGACTTGCGTTGAAGTTTGGAGCAACTCGGGGACTGCGCCTACACAATGAACCCCAAGAAAGGCGACACCGGTCGTGAGCTGTGAATGGATTTCAGCGAATGAAGGAAGAATTGTAATGGCGGTTCTACTGTGATTAGGGTGAAACTAAAATACGCCAGTTGTGCCACCCTATACGGAGAAATTGATACAATTGAGGGCACAGAAGTGCAACACAAATCAGTCGGAAAACCAATTAGTCACGTGAAAGGAACAAACTCATTTATTACACCAAACACTTCAGTGAATTTTCCTACCACGAACAAATGTAATGCATGTATTGACTGAGTGACCGATGGGCGAATCGACTCAAAAGATGCATAGTTTGAACCGTGTTTAGGTGAGGAAACAATGTAGATCAAAGTTTATTTGGGGTCTTTGCTAACGGGAAGGCACTACAAGTGAAGCCTTTCAAACACTCGAAACTGTCAATGCCATATGGCGGGAAAAATAGCAGAACAACTTGATATTCTAAAGTATTGCTGTCTACGTGCAGCTGGTGATTAGTCAAGGTGGTTGTGGCTGTTCTGGGAACATATTCACAACATATGTAAATGCATATCAAGTCTCACAAGTTCGCCCAACAAGCTGTCTTATAGCGGTTCCTTTGGGAGCTTTGCATTTGGTGTTGAACCCACGGCGAAAGCAGGTAGAGGACAAGGAAATGTTCCGAAATTTGTAATCCAGCATCTTGACGGTTTCGAACTTCGTAAGTCCACCGGAAAAATGAATGGCTGTCAAATCGATGCTGGATAGGGCCTTGGCAACCCCTCTTCATCCCAGCCTTGACCATGCAGAACAATCTTTTGGCGGAGTGAAGCAAGAAGCCAGGCGATTGGGCAAATGCGTATCCGCACGCACATCGGCCGCTTGTACACCCTGAGCATTGTCTCACCGCAACACAATTTACACTCGCCCGTTTGCTGCGTGTCTCCCAAGTTGGCCCCTGTTTACCTCCATTCCGTACCAATAGACTAAAAACTGTTGACTGCGACTTCATTGTGAGTTTCCATCATACCACTCTTCACATTAGTTGAAGGCTTTGATTAAGCCCCTGTACTTTCATCCATATCAATTCTGTCATAAAGATATTTTACAGAACATAGTACATCTACCTTCGGTTATTTCAAGGTCCACACTGCTCTTCAAGCACGTTCTTACAACTTACAACTCTCGGTTGAGCAGGATGGAGGCAAAGCTTCTGTATATTGCGTACCAAGGACTAATTCTGTAATAGTTGCCCACCTTTCGTGAACTTGAGTTCCCCTTACACAAGGGAAATATCACTTCATCTCTCCCGGAACCTCTTCAGTCCCCTGAGTTTTACCGACTAAGTGAAGTCCCTCCTATGTGGTGTTAGTCTTCAAAGGTTGCACAGCTTTGTGGTAAGACTGTCCTGCTCTTGTGCCATCCCATTTAGCAGTTGGTTCATGACCGTCTTTAGGTGGGAAGGGAGATTTCTGAGCTGTCCAGCTATGGAGAGGGTTTTTGCAAGTCCGTCTACTCATCTTCCATAAACCGAAGACAATGAGCTTTCGGTCCACAGGCTCTTGTAGCCCATTGGATAATTCTTTGTGATAACAGTGATCCGATTACGATTAGAGCTTCTCAGTCTGTTTGGTTCTTCCCACTGATATCTCCTACGCTTAAGCCTGGCCCTTCTGAGCTGTTGTACCTGTCGGATTGTTTTAACGTATTCCCGGGTCTCTTTTTGAATCAAGGTGAATATTGATCAGTCATGCGCTTCGAACTAACTTCGCTCCATAGGTCACAAATGTCCAAAGCACCTGACCTGCTCCCATTCGCACCTACTAAATGGTGGATGTTTCTGGATAAACTTCCGATGCCACTCACTAACTCTTCACTTTATTTGAATGCTTTTTTTTCAACCACCACAAAGGTGGGGCGTTTTTTTAAGTGCAGTTTGTAAGGGTAGGATCCGTATCAGTGCTACCACTACCACTCTTAACCAGGACGTCGCCGAGAACCCGGCTGAAAAACTGCACGATTGATAAGGTCTCCCTTTCTGGATGAGTCCATGTGGAAACCAATATCCGCTTCACGTTGAAAGACGTTTTTTTATCGAAATTTCCGATACTACAACTTGTTGACAACCTGCCAACAAACTCCTGCTAGCTGTTATCCACGAAGAAAAGTTAACCACTTAAAGATGCAGATTTACTCAGGTCCGAAACTTTGTCGTAGAGTTCATTGCCTGTTCCCATCCTAGTGAGACAGTGTGAAAAATTGGAAACTGAGAAGTATGAAAGTTCCTTCGGTTGAAAACACTTGGAAATGATTGAGTAGTCATTGTTCTTGGAAAAATCTGGTAACAGTCGGTAGATTCACTGCAGGGCCACGTTTCGCTTTTGACTCAAAAGTATCGTCAAGTCAGGTGACTAGGTTATGAGGTTGGTCGAGATTTAAAGCAGATGGAGAACCAATCGGCTAGGTCAAGATAAATCTGTGTTAGATGTCGGCCAAGGGTGGGTCACCAAGTTTCAAAAGTGAAACGTTGTCCGGCAATCAATCTACCGACTGCTACCAAACTTTTCAGAAAACGGTGCCAGTTCCTGTTGTTGACAGGCCCCAATCTCAACTTGGGTCACTTTGCTTCATCTGTTCTTATTTTGATTTACCTGATCCACACTTGCTCATCCGGCGCTGTGTTCACGCCGGACTTTTCTCCAGTGGGAGGCATAACCAGAACTAGCCAGCGTCTTTTGAGTGATTGTTTAAGGAAACCAGTTTGCCCCTTCCAATTCATCCCCCACACCGTTCGGAACAGGCCTTACATCCTAGGTTCCTATTGGCAAAGGACGAAATTATCGTCTCACGGCAAACATAAAGTTAGTAGAAAGTGCTTTTTGTTAGCAATCGTCAGAATCTCTGAGATGGTTCTGAATAACAGCTACTTATTGGTAGTTGAACTTTTCGGCTTCGATTGGCTGAGCGGCAGTGCGGTTAACTTGAATTTAGATAAACTCCAGCTTCTCCATTCTTTGTTCTCTTAGTTCAGGCCAAGTAATTTATTGTTGACTTACTCATTAAGTGGCAAATTGAACTGCCGATGAAAGTGGTTGACTTACATCCACTCTGATACCCATATTCTGACTGGTCGTCAAGAGATTGCACTCTCAGCTGAGAACCAATTGAAAACAATTTATCGTAACCTGCACTAAATAGGTTTTCTATCGTTCTTTTTCACTCATTAAGACGAGAATAAGGGAGATCAGTCCCAACTGACCAGCACCGCTGAACAACGTAAGGTGAGTTTCCGGTCCCAGCGTAAAGAACACGTATCGGTGGATGCCCCGACCGCAAGCCCGCAAGAACCAAGTCATAACGCAGTATCAGTCAGTTATTTACCAACTGAGGTGATGGGTAGTGAAGACGCACCGCGAGCTGTGGCCAGTCGCACCGGATCGATTGAACGACCACCCGCAAACCCCAGGCATAATTCTTGGTACGTTTCTTCCCAGAGAAAACCAACTTATCAGTTCTTTGAGTGCATTTCTAGCAGTTTTATCTTAATACGTACAAAACGTGGGTGTGTGATGCAAATAAATCGTTTTAAACATTCATCCCTGTTCCATTGCAAGCTGCCGATGGTAACCCACTGAAACCGAGCGGCTACATGAACGAATAAAAAGTGCAGTGTTCTTCCGCTCGAGATGCCTCAGTGGTTAAGGCTCGAACTTACTGAGCGGAAGGTCCGTGATTCGAACCCGACCTCTGCATCTCGACTGCTACTCTCTGGGCTTGGTCAACCGGACAGTATCTTAGCCCTGTTGCTTCCTTTTGGTAGTATGGTAGCTAGGTACCAGTAGAGTGCTGCAGGTGAACTGTCATGTCCTTGAGAGAGGTCAAAATCAAAATCCATCTGGGAGAACTCAGGATATTCTTTGGTGGAGTGCAGCTCTACCTATGACTTCGCTGTTCTCGAAAGACCTACCCAGAGGTGAACTGTCCTTGAGAGAGGTCAAAATCAAAATCCATCTGGGAGAACTCAGGATATTCTTTGGTGGAGTGCAGCTCTACCTATGACTTGACTTTTCTCGAAAGACCTAACCAGATTTGTAACCAGTTAGCGTTTCATGCGTCCAACACTTGAACCGGAAGACACATCAGACGAATTCTGATCAAAATTAGCTGATTAATTCCAGAAACACAGGGCAGTTCTTCAAGAAATATGAGGGCAGCAGGAATTGCTAGCAAAAGTCTCTCAAAATGTTTTTGAATAGTACCTACTTCAGTTCAGAGAGTCACTCTTTAATCAATTGGAAAATGTTTGTGATCAATTGGGAAGTCATCGTTTGAGAGGAGTTCGGCAAACAAT